CATTGCAAATCGTTTCAATACATTCTGGGTATATGCAGATTGATGTATCAAAATTTCATTTTCCAGATGTTCGATTTGTAGACCAAGCAGAACTTCGTTTTGGACCTCTTCAGGAGTTCCAATTAAATTCAAGTCATCCACATAAACAACTATTATCACAAAAGTTATTTCATTTTTCTTTATAAAAACACATGGCAAAATGAATCATTGACATATCCTTATTTCAATAATGATTCATTGAGATGATTATACCACATGCGACCAGACTGCTTGGGCCCATACAAAGACTTTTGTTATTTAATAGAATAACATTCTTTTGGCTTTGATTTGTATTGCATCAGACATACTAAATCATTCAGGGATTTTCATATAAATATCACTATCTAACGAGAAATAGGCAGTTACGACGTCCATCAGACGCATATCCAATTTTTCATGTACTGCCAAAATGACAAGATATCGATATATTATTCCATCAATTACTGAGAATATGTTTCATTAAAATCAACTCCAGGTATTTTTGAAAAACCTTGGGCAACAAGTCTTGCTTTATATCTGACAATTTCATTATTCTCAGTTCGCTTTTGAACAAATACCCATTTATAGCCAACAGGTGTTTGAACAATGAGTCCAAAAACTTTCAGTTTTTCTAGTGAATTTAATTCAGTATAGATCGCATCTTTCCATTTTTGCCAATTTATTCTTTTCCGACATTCATCAACTGATCTAAGTTCTGGATCCTCGTCATTTTCCATTAGATCAAGTGCTACATTATATGCAAAAGCATTATCCATAATTGTATCATTTCGGTTTCAATGCTTTCCAATAGTAACATAATTTATTGAATTTTCAATAATTTCATTCTCTTCAGAAGAAATTTTATTAGGATTAACATCTTTAGCAAGTTTATCAAGATCAATTTCTTCAGAAATCTGATCCATGTTGTTACCTATTTCTTGAGGGTTTTGATTAACATTGAAATCCTCAATCATTTCATTTGTTCCTCTTTTATTTCGAGGATTTTTATTTTTGGAACCTACAGATCTGTCATGCTTTAGGCGTACATTTGATTCACTAGTACTTTGTATTTTTCTTCAGGAATAACAATTTTAGCAGGTACATTTTCAGCAACTATATAAGATCTAGTGAACTTGCTGGTGTCACAAAAAACATTAGACAACTAATATGTTATTCGCTGCAAATGTAAAATTTTTTGCACCTCTAATTCCCTTTGACTTGTACGAGGATCAAGAAAACTAAATGGTATTTTCCAAGTACTTTTTTTTGTTTCAGTTGATTAGTTTCTCCCCTAATTTCGGGAAATATGATTAGTTAAAATCACAATCAGCAAAACGAGCTGTAAATGAATCACCAGTTAATAGTTCAAGATATTTGATGATAGATGGTGATTCGTACCCGACATATATCCCCAATCTCCGTTGGGGACCCATTTTTGTATGTTGGGGCGGTGCAATTGACACATAAACTGCGTATCAAAAAGTTCTCAAATGTGAAATATTGAGCTTTTCATTGTACACCAATTGTGCTGGGGAGTAGCTATGATAGCTTGTCGGTTTTAATTTTATCAGTGTTGCTGCATGCATAATTGCATATCCCCAATTAGATAGAGGAAGTTTGGATTTCATTAACATAGGTCTTGCAATTAATTGCAACATTTTAATAAGTGATTCAGTTAGACCATTTTGAGTATGTACATGAGGTACATGATGTTCAATGTCAATTCCAATACACATGCAATAATAATTAAATGTCTTAGATGAAAATCTACCAGCATTATCAAGACAAATTTTCTTTATTGGGTGATCTGGAAACTGAGCTCGTAATTTAATTATTTGAGCAAACAACCTCGCAAATGCCAAATTGCGGGTGGATAACAAACATACATGCGAGCATGTAGTAGATGCATCGATAAGTACCATAAAATATCGAAATGGTCCGTATGGTGGATCTACAGGCCCACATATATCACCCTGAAATCGTTCTAAAATGGTAAGGGATTCAGTTCCCACTTTTGTTGGTGATATTTTAGTTATTAACTTTCCTTTTGAGCAAACAACATATTTAAGCTCATTTGTATTTAATACTATTTGATCTTTCAAGTTATGGCCATAGGTATTTTCAATAATTCGTCTTATCATAGTATTACCGGGATGCCCTGACCGGTCATGCGAAATCATAAAATCTGTAGACTTATGGTCTACCAGATATGTTTCAACTGCATTAATCTTTGTGTAATATAATCCGGAAGACAATAATGATAATTTTTCTAATATATATTTATGCCCGTCAATTAATTTTGTAATCAACAAAAATTCATTATTTGCCTCACTTGATGTCTCAATACGATATCCATTTATGCGAGTATCATTAAAACTCAACAAACTTCTTTGGGATTTACTAGAATATAGTGCTTTTTGGATATCAAGTTTTACTCCTTCAGGGAGAAATATTATTGCTCTTTCAGAGCCCTTAATTAATTTCGCACAACCACTTATAGTATTCACCTCAATTTTTCCCAACTTCAAGTTGGTGAAATATTTCTTATATTTAAGAATGATGCATTGATGCACTGCCAATGTGACATGAATTGTCTTCTATATTATTCATTATAGCGCATTCAACATTCATATTTCTTCTTCTGGGAGAATTATAAGAATAAATATATCAGAAATTTAAAGAAAATACATAGCTGTCATATTATTACAAAATTTAGGGAGCAAAAAGTACAGGGGTTAAAAAAATATCACATATCTATATGTTATTATTATATAGCATTTCCGGGGTTTTTATAGTATCCACCTTCAGGGTGTAACATAAAATCAGATACATCTAACTACGTATTATCAGTACATTTATCATTCCCACTACCGCTGGCAATATTTTTGAAAAATTAATTTATGGGGGATTGATATTTTCAGGTGCTTTAACATCTTCAAGTACTTTGTTTTTCTGTTTTAGGGAATTCTGGTACATCTTAACGAAATAAGAATTGAAACGACAATTTCTAAACCAATGTCCTGTAATTCTGCAGCGATAACACTTATCCTCGATTTTCTTTGAACTCTGACCAATGTTATTCTGAGGCCGTTTCAGAGGCCTATTTGGTTCTTATCCATCAAAATACCCCTCACGGTAGTAATGCGAAACAAACCTGCCACGACCACGTCCATGGTCGGCTCCGCGTCCATTATTCATTCCACGTCTACGATTAAATCCACGGTAGTATCACGGCTAAATCCACGCCCACGGCCTTGTCCACGACCTCGTCCACGGTAGTATCTAGGCATATTAATCAAACACCGAGTCGCATTCACTTCAGAGAATGGACTTGCACCAGTTGGCCTCGATTCGTGACTTTTCAATAATAATTCGTTATTCCGTTCAACAACAAGGAGACAAGTAATAAGATCACAATATTTAGTAAAACCCCTTTTCTCGATATTGTTTTTGTAAAACTATATTAGAGGCATGAAACGTGGTGAACATTTTTTTTCCAACATATCCCTATCAATAATATTTTCCCTACAAAATCTTAATTGAGACGTGATTTTAAACATCATAGATTTATAATCAGAAACTGTTTTAAAATCTTGCAAACGCAAGTGTTGCTATGCGTGTTTCGCTTTTGGTAATATGACATATTTTAGGTGGCTCAATCGATCTTTCAAATTTGTCCATAATTCAAATAAATCTTTAACAATTAGATATTCCATTTTAGGGTTTCGTCAATATGATGACGTAAGAATATCATTGCCTTTGCAAGTTCTTGATCTGTGCATTCATTTTTACTAATGATTGTTTTTGAAAGCCCTATAAATTTGAGGTGCATCTTGACATCCATTACCCACATCATATGATTACTTTCGACAATTGCTAGTGGGGGAAATTCAAATTTCACTATATTAGTCGAGATTAAAAGAAAATAAATAAACTCACCAAAAATTTCGTAATCTGTTTCCATTTTCACAAATATATATTTATATATAGTGTAATATATGTATAGATATAATAATATATGTATCTGAATATATAGAGAGAAAGAGTAAAGCGTTTGCGTGTATGTTTGATTCTTTAGAGAGAGAGAGATAATTATTGGATCACCCAAATTCTTCAATCCATTTTACTTTAAACAAACTTATTTATACTCATATTTTTACATGCTTAGTATAACATAAAATTGCATGACATCAAATCATAAAGATACATATGTGAATGACACCTAAAATCTGAACTTGTCATAACAAAACATAAATATATTAATATACAAACATAAATATTATTATTGAAATGAAAATGAGAATAATAATAATAATAATAATAAATATACTTTTTTAAAATTAATGTATTTTTAACATTTTTATTTAATATTTGAATTTTTATTATATAAAAATATACTCCATATATATTTGCATGTTTATAGAAATTATATAAATTAATAAAAAATTATTTATTCCACAATGTTATAAATTATATGAAATTTATATAAATCAATAAATAATGTAGTCAAATATATTAAATGCATATAAATCAATGAATAAAATTAATTAAATTCTACATAGATTTTATAAATTTTTTTACATTCACATAAATTTACAAATTTTTTTAAAGTAAAAAAAAAATCTAAAAAAATCCTAATTGAATATACTATTTTTTTTCGAGCATGTTCGTCAAGCCCAAGCACTTTATTTTTTTGGCTAAATTCAAATTAAATTTTTAGACCGTACTTATTTTATCTGTTTACATCTAAGTAGACATGAGTCCACGCTTGGGATGCAACAAACCAATCCCACGTAAACTAATTCAAATAAATTGGAAAACCCAATGTGCAAAGGAACTTAGTTTGTTACACAAAAAAATGTATTAAAGTGGTAATCTAACAAGAATTTGATGCCAAACCATTCTTGAATCTCACTATAAATTCATCCAAATCTTTGATCCAATTCCATCACTCCCCACAGAAACAAACCCAAATAACACAAATGGCCAATATAGTAATACCCTCATCCACTTTAATCCTCTTGTCTTTGTTTCTTCTACGATGCGATTGTAATCTTGAACCCTCTTCTCCTGAATTTTCCATTCATAACCCACAAGCCCATCATCATCATCATAATCATAATCGACGTCGAAGTCATCCGAACACTATTCCGCCCTGCGATCTTGAAACAGGTTGTCTGAAACGAGCTCACAAGATAGCCCATGCACCGGTGCCTAGCCATGCAGAACTTCCTCCCAAGCGAAGCTACTGGCTTATGTCTAATCCCATTACATCACCGGTAAATAATTTTGAAGAACCGCCTCCCAGCCCAAGCTACCAGTTTATGTCCGATTCCATTACAGCATCGGTGATTAAGATTGAAGAACCACCTTCCAGCCGGAGCTATCGATTTATGTCGGATCCCATTACAGCATCGGTGATTAATATTGAAAAACCACCTCCCACCCCGAGGTATCGATTTATGTCGGATCCCATTACAGCATCGGCAATTAATATTGAAAAACCACCTCCCACCCCGAGGTATCGATTTATGTCGGATCCCATTACAGCATCGGCAATTAATATTGAAAAACCACCTCCCACCCCGAGGTATCGATTTATGTCTGATCCCATTACACCATCGGTGACTACTCATGCAGAACCGTCTCCCAAGCCATTCAATGCTTGAAGGATTTCGATCGCATGCCCGACCTGGCAGTACGACAGGCTTCTATACTAGACCAATACAAAAAAGGCTACTAAATAATTGAGAAAAAAATGAAACAAAAAAACAAAACACTGCGATTGAATATGGATTTTATATATAATTAGGCAAATTATAAGCCCTTGCTCGACTATATTGGCAATTGAAATATATATGTATATAACTATGTGCTGTGCTTTAACTCACACGAGAATATAAGCTTTAATTAATTTTAAATATTTTCAGGAAGCTCAAGAACCAACAAATTTTCCTTAAAATAACGACGGGAACTTGCCCAGTAAATTAGTTAGATTTACACTTTTGTCTTCATATTATGGACAGATTGAACAATTGGGTTTCAGCTTCAAACACAGTATTAGGATGGAAACACCCATCAAACTGCAACTGGAAATGCTGTATTTAGTAATTAACGTATAAAAATCAATGTAGACATGAAACAAAACATCAAGAATTTATATGGAAATTGCTAATTAGTCACTGTGTTTTAGATTCTTTATCTACTGATTTATTTAGTCCACTTTTATTCTATGTTTTAGGGTCTATTATCAATTGCTATTGCTGAAATTTAGGTTGTATTTATTTTATTTATTTGTATTTAAGTAAGTGCAATAGACATACATATTAGGTTAATTTCTCTCTACGTGAAATTTACACTGTCTGCTTTCTGAATATTTTTTTGCAACTCAGCTCAAAAATGGGATAATGATCTTTTGAGTGCAGCCATCTATGGAAGCCGAAGCTAAATTTCCTCTAATTGTTCCATCAACATTTCATGGAGAAATGATCAGATATGGATTGTATGCATGGAAGCTCAACTGGAAATAGATTATGAAATAACTAAACTTCAAGAATTAATATTCCACCATGGCACAGATCAAAGGGCTAAAGAAAATGAAGATAAACTAAAATAGGCCAAGATAAAAATTTGCCCGTTTCCTACAGTTTCTTTCACCATCTTTACTCTCATCATGTCTAGATATGGGATAAACTTAAAATAGGGTATGGGGGAGGCAAACAAATACATGTAGGGTGTGTTTGTTTGGGGGTTTGGATTTTGAATTGGGATTTGAATAGTAAAAATTTTGAATTTGAATAGTTGTATGATGTGATATAAATAGGGTTTGATGTGATGTTTTGAATGTAAAATTGATTTTTAGTATAATATAAAAAATGAAAAATAGGTGTTTGATTTGATGTTTTTGGGGGAAAAAAATTGGATGAATAGTGGAAATCCACCAAAATCCTTCAAACAAACACACCCGTAATGAATGTGTTAAACTTAAAAGGAAATTTGAGATGTAAAGAATGAAAGAATCTGAGACGGTGAAAGAACACACAAGCAAATTGCTTGGCATCGCTAACAAGGTATGGTTGCTTGGTTTGATGCTTGATGAGTAAAGAATTGTACAAATAATTATTGTAGTCTTGCCTAAAGATATGAATAGTGTATATCACCTTGGAAACCACATAAGATTTATCAGTGATCACTTTGGAAGAGTTGTGAAGTACCTTTCAGGCCCAAAGACAATAAAGGCATATGACACAAGAACATGCAGTCCAAAGAGCTCTGCTAGCCAAACATCAAGAAACTGAAAAAAGTAAAGAAAGAAATATTACAAAATAAAAAAAGAAAAACTATTCAAACAATGTATATGATCCTGACTTAAGTTAATTACAGAGGGTGAATGTGAGTTCAGATTGTGGTCGGCCACGTGCTGTTTAGATGAATGGTGATCCGCTGTGAAAAAAGTGTAGAAATTATAAAACAAATTGAACACAAAATTTCTTGACCCAATTTGGTTACCAACAGGACTTACCATTTGTATCTATATGCATCAGGATCCCGATTCATGGATCTCTCGGTTCGAGAAATCTGGGAGTTCCAATCTAGATGTTTCATTGGATATTAGGCAAGAGCAAGTAAGTTATACATTTTATAACCTCAAATTTGAGTATATTTGATCTTGTAAAACATGTTTATTACTTGTATATATTTTTTATTATAAAAACTATTACAATATTTGATTTATGACATACATTATTGTTAATCAGGGTGACTCTCGAGTATTGCATACTAACGGGAGAGGGCAACTGATGGGCATGCCACTAACAAGGATATGTAGGGACATACTCAGATGCGTTTAGCTACCAAGCCGGGGCGCAGGGGATGAAGAAGTCACCCAAGTTGACTACCCTAGATTCTGATTCTGGATGACGGTTTGCAGAGACGAAGGTTGTGTTAGTTGCTTACTAAATATATTAGGCTGGCTAATGATAAAAATGTCAATGATTATAATTCTATAGTCTTGTTGTTGGACCATAAGTCCAAGTGACTCAAAGTACGGAACACATCCAACCGTCGAAATTGTATCCGAAAGCGATGCTTTCATACATTCAGAAGCCGTTCTTTCTATCAAGCTAAAAACAACAACTTCCATTGGATTGTGATGTTTCCACATAGCAAAATGATGTAGCCTCCACATAACCTCAAGCCACAGCTTCCACAAGCCCTCAGACAGCAATGTGGAAGGCTCTATGGGTCAAGCCAGAAAAAGAAAAATGAAGATTCCATGTAACTCGATGTTGTTGGGTGTAATGTGTCCGGAAGCTGACATGCCCGGCGCCTGGGCCACGCCCGCGCTGAGGCCCAGACCAGTCGTCCCCTGTGCGTAACACTCCCGGGATATACCATACAATATGGGAGAATCATTCGGAACACGTACCTGCACCAAGACATATGCCGTCAATCAGCCGTACAGGACAGGGGCTCACACACATGGGACGGACTATGGCCGAGAACCTGGGGCAGCAATGTCAAACCGTGAATAAACTCCCCTACTTCAAGTCGCAAACGCCCTCGTGCGACACTGCTTAAGTGCACCGATGTTAGTTCTTGCACCCTTGGCATGCCTCCGGCGTCACTCCATTGACCCTTATCTGCATACTCTTATTCTTTGTGCTCACCAACATCCAGCGAGGTCTTTTGCGATAGACAACACACATTCCGCCGCTCATCTCCGCACATCATCCGGGACATCCTTTGTGGCGGCTTATGCATTCTTCGCCCAAAGATCGTCCTTAATGTGGTTTTTTCCTCACGAACAAAGCTCGGCTCTCTTGGCCTTTCGGCAGCGTCGAGCGTACTCTCCCAGCTTGGGAGCACTCCCCTCTTGGAATGTCCAGTTGCCTTAGGACATGCTCTTGGAATATTTATCCATGGTAGGTTAGATTCTTCGACATGGAAATCACTGCGTTATTGTCACAAAAGATCTCAGTTGGTTCAGATTGGACTTGAGCAAAATCTGCAAGAATACGACGTAGCCAAACTGCTTGACAAGCTGATGTTGTTGCTGCTACATATTCAACTTCAGACATTGAAAGTGCTGTGGATTCTTGCTTCTTCGTACTCCAACATATCAAACCAGATCCAAGACTAAAAACACGTAACCAGAGGCGCTTCTTCTATCCTCCAAACAGCTCACCCAATCCCTGTCCGTATAACCGATCAACTTGAAATCGGATTCATGGCTATACCATAATCCAAATTGGACTGTTCCAACAACATAGCGTAACACTCTTTTTGCAGCACCAAAGTGATGCTGTGAAGGGGAATGCATAAACCTGGAAAGTAATCCCACCGAGAAAGCAATGTCTGGACGTGTATGCGCCAAATAAATCAATCCTCCAATCAAGCTTCTGAATTGTTTTTCGTTTGGTTGTCCAGAACCATCATCAACCTGTAACTTCTCATTCAAGTTCATAGGCGTTGCTGCAGCCTTACAATTCAACATATTAAATTTTTTCAACAAATCGACAACATACCTTTTTTTGAGATACAAAAATTCCATCATCAACTTGTTTCACTTCCAACCCCAAAAATATTGCAACTTTCCTAAATCTGTCACTTCAAACTTTTTCTTTATGCAGACTTTAAAATCGTCAATTAGAGAAGGAGATGAACCCATATAAATCATATCATCAATATAAAGGCAAAGAATGAGAAAATCATTTTTAGCTTGCTTCTTCACATATAATGTGGGTTCATTCTTGCTTCGCTCAAATCCATTTTCACAAAGATAGGAATCTATCTTTCCATACCATGCACGCGGAGCTTGTTTTAACCCATACAAGGCTTTCTACAGCCTGTACACCTTCTCATAATTACCTTCAATTATAAATCCTTGGGGCTGAGTGACATAAACCTTCTCTTTTAAATCACCATTTAGAAAAGCTGATTTCTCATCAAATTGGTATATTGGCCAATTTAATTTTGCAGCCACTGCAAGAAAGATTCTCACTGTCTCAAATCGTGCGACTGAAGAGAAAGTGTCAACATAATCAACTCCCTGTTGTTGTGCATACCCCTTGGCCAAAAGTCGCGCCTTACGTTTTTTAACAGCGCCATCAGCTCCATACTTTGTTCAAAAACCCCATTTAACTCCAATTGATTTTTTTTTCCTTCGGGAAGATCTACCAAATCCCAAGTCTTATTTTTTTGAATTGAGATGATTTCATCCTTCATTGCTACATGCCATTCCTCTCCCTTCACTGGTTCTTGAAAGGTTATATGATCACCTACAAACATAGCATAAGAATCTGCATATATTTCATCATCAGAGTTGCTTCCTGATCCTTCAGGTATGCGTCTAGGTAAAGATAGTGATGACGAGCCTGAAGAATATGGTAAAGGTGGCTGCTGTATCTCCCCTCAAATGGTCTCATTTTCACCGAAAACTCCGACAACAATGTTCCTTGAGCTGTTATCCCACTTTCAGCTTGCTTTTTCATCGAAAACCATATTCCTATTTATGATAACTTTGCCCACAACAAGATCATACAAGAGAGAAATTACCACCAAACTAGGTTAGACGATGGAGAGGAGCAAAGCAAAGAGGACAGGGCAATTTTGTTTGTGGATAAACTTCGAAGACACTGTTTTATTCAATGGGAAATATCCCAATATATTAAGATTACATTCCAAGATAAACATGGAATAATTATTAATCAAATCCACCTTCTAAAACTGAATACAATAAATAATAAATATAAAATATATCATAATTATTTTTGAAAATCAAATCTTAACACTCCCCCTTGATTTAAAGGTGCAAACACCAAGCTTCGACCGGAAGTGAACATGCTTGTCTCGAGGAAGTGACTTGGTCATGATGTCAGCCACCTGCTCATGGGTACTGCAATACTTTAAAGTTATTAAATTCATTGACACAAAATCTCGAATAACGTGTACTCGAATACCTATGTGCTTTGTCCTTCCATGGTAGGTTGGATTCTTCGACATGGAAATCACTGCATTATTGTCACAAAAGATCTCAGTTGGTTCATATTGGACTTGAGCAAAATCTGCAAGAATACGACGTAACCAAATTGCTTAACAAACTTATGTTGTTGCTGCTATATATTCAGCAACGTTGAAAGTGCTATAGATTCTTGCTTCTTGGAACTTCAACATATCGAACTAGATCCAAGACTAAACACGTAACCAAAGGTGCTTCATTTTTCTACTGCATATTTTTTGGTTATGTTGCCTATGCTTTAGTTGATGCATCTCATCGTAACAAGCTTGATGAAAAATCAACAAAATGCATTTTTCTTGGCTATTATTGACAATCCAAATACCTTCAAATGGCTTACTCCCGGTTTCCTTCGATTCCAAGCCTCATATGGTGTGCGGTTCAAAACAGCCTTTGTAGGAGATAAATTAAGCAAATAAACTATTGGCGCTACTGCCTCAACCCAAAACATATCCGGAAGTCCTTTTGATTTCAGTAGGCTTCTTGCCATCACCACGACTATTCTGTTTTTGCGCTCGGCAACACCATTTTCCTCTGGAGTGTATGGGGTTGTTAATTCTCTTTGTATGCCATGCTCATCAAAAAATTTATTAAACTTGTGAGATACAAACTCACCACCTCTGTCTGTACGCAACACCTTCACATATTTTTTGGATTGATTTTCCACAAGAGCTTTGAATTTTTTGAACATATCGAATGTTTCTGACTTGGCTTGTAGAAAATAAACCCAGCTCATCTGACTGTAATCATGGTTAACAAAAAAAAAATCTGCTCCGACCGAGAGATTTTGTTTTCATAGGGCCTACCAAATCTCCATGTATAAGCTCAAGACAAGTAGATGCACGTCTAGAAACTCCTACTGGAAAAGGTCTCTTTGTTTGTTTGCCAAGAACACACCTCTCATAACTCCAAGGATTCGATTTTAGGCAAGCCATAAACCATATCCTTTTGACTCAATAATTTCAAACCATTCACATTTAAATGCCCATACCTTAAATGCCACAATTTAGACTCGTAGGCTGTTTTGACACCAAGTACACATTTATCAACTTTGGACACCTCAAGTGGAAATAATCCATTTGGTGTCATCTGAATATTGACAATCACTTGACCAGATTTTTTATGTCTTAATCACACATGACGAATTGTCAAATAAAATGGCATATCCACTATCAATGAGTTGCCTAACACTCAATAAATTTTGAGTCAACGTAGGAACAAAATAAATATCATGGAGAAGCTTCAGATTACCCCGATCATTCATTACTTCAACGATGCCTCTGCCCTTAACTTGTATTTGTTTATCATCTCCGAGCCTTACTTGTAACTTGTAAGTTTCGTCAATCTCCTTAAACAACGACTTTATCAATGTCAAGTGATTAGAACAACCACTATCCAAAAACCATATATTATTAGAAGTGGTTGTATCACCTCAGCTGGTCATAAACAACTTGAGTTCATCATTTCGTTGTTCTGCATAACAAGCCTGTTTTTGTCGCTTCCAACAATCAGCTTGTACGTGTCCAAACCTTTTACAATAATAACATTGCACATGACTTTTATTGCCTTGTGAATTATTACCACAGTGATTATTGCTCCTATCATTGAAGTGTGCATCTCCTTGTCCTCTGCCATGACCATTCCTCCCATGGTATCGACCTCTTCCACATCGTCTAATCCCTGCATATTTCAGTTCATTTTTCTGCTGTGATGAATCACCTTTAACGTGAAAGGCTGTCTCTTCATGTATTGTCACGGGTTGGCATTCTTACCCCAGGTTCTTGGGCATAGTCCGTCCCATATGTGCGAGCCCCTGTCCTATATGGCTGATTGATGGCATATGTCTTGGTGCATGTACGTGTTCCGCATGATTCTCCCAAACCGTATGGTATATCCAAGGCGTGTTGCGCATAGAGGACGACTGGTTTAGGCCTCAGCACGGGCGTGGCAGCTTTCGGACATGTTACATATGGTATCAGAACGGACCTTGATGCTGGTGGTGAACAAAGCAGGGGGCATGTCTCGGGGGAAGGAGAATATCGGTGGCACGTCAAGGATGAGCATGTTCTAAGGAAACTGGACATTCCAGAGTGGAGTGCACCCAGAGTGGGGGGAGTACGCTCGACGTTGCCGGGTACATCAAAGAAGAGCATGTCCTAAGGTAACTGGACATTCCAAGAGATTAATGCTCCTAAGGTGGGGGAGTACGCTCAACGTCGCCGATGGACCAAGGTGGGGGAGTTTGTTTGTGAAGAAATAGGCGAAAATCAAACAAGCCGCAACAAAGGATGTCCTAGATGGTGTGCATAGATGCGCGGCGGAATGGGTCATATATGGGTTGTCTACGGCAAAAGATCTCATTTGTTGTTGGTGAGCACGAAGAGTGAGGATATGCAGAAAAGTGTAAATAGAGTGATGCCGGAGGCATACCGAGGGTGCAAGAAATAACATCAGTGCACTTAAGTAGCGGCGCACGAGGGCGTTTTCAACTTGAAGTGAGAGAGTTTGTCACGGGTTGACATTCCTGCCCCAGGTTCTCGGCCATAGTCTGTCCCATGTGTGCGAGCCCCTGTCCTGTACGGCTTATTGATGGCATATGTCTTGGTGCAGGTATGTGTTCTGCATGATTCAACCATACTCTATTGTATATCCCAGACGCGTTGCGCACAAAGGACAACTGGTCTGAGCCTCAGCGCGGGCGTGGCCTAGGTGCCAGACGTGTCAGCTTTCGGACACATTACACATCATATCCTAAGGGAACTAGACAGTCCAAAGAGAGAGTACACCCAGAGTGGGGGGAGAGCGCTCGATATTGCCGGGCACGTCAAGGAAGAACATGTCCTAAGGCAACGGGACATTTCAAGAGGAGAGTGCTACCAAGGTGGGGGAGTACGCTCGACATTGCCGAAAGACCAAGAAGGCCGAGCTCTATTCGTTAGGAAAAAACCACGTTAAGGACGATCTTTAGGTGAAGAATGCACAAACCGCAACAAAGGATGTCCCAGATGGTGTTCGGAGATGAGCGGCGGAATGTGGGTCTCATGTGGATTGTCTATGGAAAAGATCTCGCTGGCTATTGGTGAGCACAAGGAATGAGGGTGTGCAGATAAGGGTCAATGAAGTGACGCCGGAGGCATACCGAGGGTGCAAGAATTAAAGTCGGTGTACTTTAGTAGTGTCGCACGAGGGCGTTTGCGACTTGAAGTGGGGGAGTTTTGTCATGGGTTGACATTCCTGCCCCAGGTTCTCAGCCATAGTCCGTCACATGTGTGCGAGCCCCTATCTTGTATGGCTGATTGACGGCTTATGTCTTGGTGCAAGTACGTGTTCCTCATGATTCTCTCATACTATATGGTATATCCCGGGTGTGTTGCGCACAGAGGACAGCTAGTCTGGGCCTCAGAGCGGGCGTGGCCTAGGCGTCGGGCATGTCAGCTTCTGGACACATT